ATCCTAAAGTGCAATGGATTAGCCTCGCCCTGGGGAAACCACCTTCGAGATCATGGAATCACCCCTGCCAGGTTAAGTATGTGAAGACATTTCTTGAGTTTTACAATAGTGGTCTCATACAATATTTAGTCTTTTGTGACTGACTTATTTCACTCAGGGTAATGTCCTTCAGGTTCATCCATGCTATGAGGGGTTTTATAAATTCATCATCATTATTTTTTTTTTAATGTTTTCTTATTGTGAATTGAGTGATAGTTTACATGGGACAACATTGATTTTACACTCACCCTATCGTATTTCGTTTCATCGCAATGATTACAATCCACTCAATGTATCATTGTTCAACAGAAATTGCTTCTATTCCTTTTTTTTTGATGTACACAAAAACACTCAGGAATATGTAATCATTTAAACATCCAAAGGGCATCATCTTCTGCAAGCCTGCCTGCTGGTCGCCAGCACTCAGCCTTTCTCTTTCCATGAGTCTAGAGTCCTCAGCTGCTGTGTCCCCATCTCTGGTGTTGCTGTTTCTCTGGATAGGGTCCCACATTCCACTCATGCTCCTCTCCCTTGATGCTCCTAGGGTCCTCTGTTCCTGGACTCTAAGATTAACTACTCCTTTTTGTTACAAAACTTCTGCCTTTACAGTTGTGACAATCACAATTAGTCATGATAACAGTTACTATTGAATCTTAAGAATCTTATCCCCATCCTTTCACTAGATCTGTCTAGACAAGATGAAAACTGTTCAGTGGGGATTCTACCTTCCCCTGCCCACTCTGAAACTAAACTCCCTCTTGTAAAACTTGTAAGCCAGTCACTTCGTGCCTTTATTGCCCCCATCCCACCCATTTTAGGTAGCTAATGTCTAAGTTGCCTGTCCCTATCAATCCTGTGTACAGAGGGGATAGGAATGATCCTTGATCATTATTAGTTTTAATGTTGTGTTGTTGTTGTTGTTAAGTGCCGTCGAGTCGGTTTCGACCCATAGCGACCCTGAATAGGGTTTCCGAGGCTGTAAATCTTTATGGGAGCAGATCGCCTCATCTTTCTCCGGCGGAGCCGCTGGTAGTTTCGAACTGCTGACCTTCAGGTTCGCAGCCCGATTCGTAACCACTACGCTACCAGAGCTCCTTTTAATGTTGTGTAGTAGTCAATTATTTATGTATCCATTCTTCTGTTGGTAGACATTTAGGTCGAGTCCATCTTTTTGCTATTGGTATTCACTGTGTGTTATTCTTATTCACTAGCATGACACAATAGTGCTGTGATGAACATGTGTGTGCATGTATCTATTTGCATTGTGGTTCTTATTTCTCTAGGATACATACCAAGTAGAAGGATTACTAGATCATATTGCTTCCCATTTACAACTTTTTAAGAAAGTGCCATACTGTTTTCCACAGTGGTCACACAATTTTATAATCCCACCACCATGGGATGAGGAATCAGGATCTCCATGCCCTTGTCAGCAATTTTCTCTGCTTCTTTTCATATAAAGTTAGTGATTAGTTTTTCCAGCTCTAGAACGAATGCTATTGGAACCTAGATTGGGTTTGCATTCTATCTATAGATCATTTAGCATAGTATTAACATGTTCACAATGTTAAGTCTTCCTATTTATGAACATGGTCCTGGTGTGGCACTGCAAGGTCAGTGGTTCAAACTTAACAGCCACTCCTTGGAAACCCTATGCAGGGTCACTATGAGTTGGAGCCAACTAGATGGCACTTAGCAACAACATTCATGAACAGGATATATTCTTCCATTTATGTAGGTCTCTTTTGGTTTCTATAAGAAACTATAAGTAGTGTTTTGTAGTTTTCTTTGTACAGGTTTTTTTTCTTTCTGGTTACATTTATTCCTAAATAGTTCATCTTTTGGGTGGCTATTGTAAATAAA